GGAGCTCATGTGAGAGTCGACTGTTCAGAGAATAATGTCTGTCTGTAGTGAGGTCCTGCGTCCTGATTGTTCAAGGATAATGTTTTTGAACTACCCTCCAGTGTTTTTACTTCACTCAATGTGCAGACCGTAATAAATCAGACAATTATTATTTTCTTATTTTTTTTTGTACTGCCTTTGATGTGAGGGACATGAAGCCAGATATCATGAGACCCACATATCACAATACTATCGTCATTTCCCAGTCCATGTGCACGTTATGATGATGAGGATTAGATACATTTCATGGCAAGACCTTACTTAGAAATGGAAACCCACGACCATCTTTTCCTCATGTGATTGAAGCTCCTCCGATTTTCAACAATACAGTTTTCAATTTGTACGAGAACATGTTGGAAAGCACGCACACTGCTTCAAAAACACGCACACTGCTTCTTGTAACTACACAACAGTGGAAGCAATGTGATGAGATTCATGTTCGAGCACACAGATTGTTCTTTCGCCGTGGTGTGTTACGTTTGCCTGAAAAGTCTCAGCACGTCTGGTCTCCGCAGCCGGACCCAGTCACACTCTGTTGCCATGGAGACAGGGCCGGTGCAGAAGGCCCGCGGCCCGACTGAGACCCAAGCTTCATCTTTGATATTTGTGGAGAGGGACAGCGAGAGAATTTGAGTCGCTCAAAGGCGCTTTGTGTTGCCTCGTGGAGGAAAAGGCGCTCTACGAATGGAAGTGGATTGATTGAGTTTTGGAGGTGGAAGAGCTTTTGTTGTGAACCATCTCTGGAGCAGCCTGTGCTCGTCATGCAGTCCCGCATTCTAGAGGCTGATGCAACTCTTGTATATCTATATTGCTGTGTATGTATCTTAATAATAAAAATAATAACACATCTTTGATTGTGAAGCACTTTTAAAAAACAGTGTTTAGAAAGCACTGCACAGTCAGCATAAAGCGATAAAAGCAGTCAATAAAAGAATATGGCAAGAAAGACAAAACAAAAGGAAGGCCGTTCGATTAAAGTTCAATTCACCTTATTCTTGTATAGCCTTAAATCACAACTGTACTTCTCTCAGAGGACCGTTGAAATTGTCAACACAGATCAGAAAAATCAACAGTTAAGACACAAAGAATATAGAACAAATAGGTATTGGTCCATAGGGAGAGATCAATGTCTGAAAAAAGGGATAAAAGCAGGTTTTAAGAAGTGATTTAAAAGAAAGATACGGATAGAGCTAGCCTTTTCTCCTCCTTTTTAAAACATAAAATATGGGAAAAACCAGCTACAATCTGGTGTATTTATCTTCATGTCTTTCCCCACACGGAGCGGGACCATTCATATAACTGGATTTATTTCAAATGTATGTAAAGACAAAAAAAGCAATGAACATATACCAATACACAGTTGTAAAAAGGGATTGGACAAAGTAGGCGTTTATTTGGTTCCAACTAGCCTGGCCATAGCCATCCGTACACTCAGCTCAATCATCATTTCACTGCATGTAACGTCTGGGTCTGGTCCCTGTGTTAGCGAATACAATCGGTCGTATTTCGACCGGCTACTCAGAGAGCGTGGAAGGCGGGTGTTGTAGGTCGGTGCCGGTGACGTCAAGAGTTTGCGCCGAACGGGCAGGTTGTAGTTTGGCAATGGCGAAGAATGCGATAGTAAAGTAATCCGGTCTGGTTCTATCAAGAAATTGAAGCAGGAGCAAGAGGAATGTTTAGCAAATGTAATCGCTGGTCAAGATTGTGGCACTACTCCCCACGGGCTCCGTTAGCGGCAAAGGAGATTGCTAAACGGTAAACTCAGATGAAACTACATTATTTGAAATGTTGTCACAAGTACAAAAAAACATTGAGTTACTCTCTGAAGCGATATAAGCGGATGAAAATAAAACATCTGCAAAACCACTGTAATGCTGAAGAAGTACATGAAGGAGACAGAGTGATGCCCCTCGCACAGAGTGATGGAGGAGAGGGGTAGGGTCAGAGAGTGTTAGGGCCGGTGTGTGTTTGTGTGTTTTGTGTGACTCATACCCCATGGTAGGTTATGATAGATGTCTGTATTTACCCGCACAGTATCATATTTGTGTTCATTGTTTTGATTAGTTGCATTGTTTTCCTGTGCATACCTGCGTTGAATGGAGAGAGGACAGTTGGGGAAAAAAGGTCTCGCTCAGCCAACCCCTTTTCAAACCTGTTTTTGTGTGAAGATATATAAGATTGTGTCTCAGGTTTGAAATAAATCATGGGTCCTCCAACCTTTTTTAATCGGAGAGCTACTTTTATACAACAAACACAGGCAGAGAGCTACTCTTTTTGTGCAGTCATAATGAAAATTGATCTAATCATTACGACTAAACTTGGAGAACACATTTAAAATACACCATAATACTGTACAACCCTATATTTATACTTTATAAATAAAAAGTATTCGTTTAAGTGTATTTGTTAAAGTCTAATTTCTTTGGCGAGCTACTGGTGGCTCCGGAGCTACAGGCTGGAGACCCCTGAAATAAATGTATCTAACTAACATTTCATAATTTAATTCAATATATCTTTGAACAAAAGAATCTTTTCACTTGGTTTGAACCGTTGACCTCAGGGCCATTATCCGTGTTTGCACATCTGATGATCCTATTGATGCCAATTATGACATGGACATTTCTTCATTGTGAGATCAGTGAAGGTCGATCTTAGCTACAT